AGGGCAGTTGGAGATAGATATCCTGAGAGTAATTGGAAATGGTCAGAACACCAGAGTATACAATGACCCATGGATTCAAAAGCTGTAGGGGCAAAGAATTCAGAGGCTGAACCCTCCATCGGTGTTGGTGGCGGAATGGATTGACCAGCATAACCGGGTTGGGACGAGGAAAGACTGAATAGGTTCACATCAGCTCAGGAGGGGGAAGCCATCCGGAGTATCCCTATCGGCCACCAGGAAGCTGCTGACTTCTGGGCCTGGAAACCGACTTTTGATGGATGTTTCTCGGTGGGATCGGCCTACAAATCACTACACAATAGAAACCGGATGGCCGGGGAACATTCTACAGCCTCCCAACATAGTGAGAAGGAAAAATGGAGATGGCTCTGGGGTACCTCTCTCCCACCAAAAATGAAGTTTTTCTTGTGGAGATGTGCGAAAGGGGCGCTGGCCACAAAATCAAAGCTCTCCTCGCGTAACTGCTCGCCCTCTTCAGATTGTCCAGTGTGCTCGGGGGGACCTGAGACCATTCATCACTGCTTGTTTGAGTGTGGTCATTCGAAAGAGACATGGAAAGCTATTTTCCCATCCATCTCCACACCCCCTCCGCTGACTAATATTCTGGATTGGCTGTTCCAGACCCAAAAAGGAATCCCAGAGCAGACAGCACACCATATCATCTACCTTCTCTGGGCTGTTTGGCTAGCAAGAAACGAAAAGGTTTTCGGCAATGTCAACCCATGGCCCCCTAGATCATGCTCCAATGCTGCTCGGGATCTGAAGCAATGGACAGAATGTCCAAAGATCCCAAGGCAACCGAGAGTCCCTTCGGATCAGCGCACTCCACCCCGGAACACCACTGCTCCACCGCCAAGTAATCCATGTTTTGAGATTCACTGTGATGGTTCATTCAATAATGAATCCCAGGAGGCGGCTTATGGTTATGTGATTATCAATGACCATGGACAGGTGTGTAACGGCGCGGCTGGTCCTGTTACGTGTTCCTCACCAATCGAAGCTGAAGCCATGGCTCTGCAGGAAGCTATCATTGCAGCTCAAAGAATGAACACAACTGTCCAAGTGAAGTCTGATTGTCTATCCATTGTGAAAGCCCTGGAGATGCCTCCTGAGTGTTGGCCGTGGGCGTGTGCAGCTAGACTAAGTGTTATGGCCGCCATTCTGGACAGAGTGCCAAGTATCTCGGTGAAGTTAATCAGAAGAAAATTTAACTTTCGGGCTGACTGGATTGCACGCTCCTTCAATCAGAGATCTCTCCCCGGGGATTGGATTACTGTTTTGAATGTGTTGGATTCTTTCCTTACTGATGTATCCTGACGTTTTGGTTATTGAGGAATATAAGTAACGATTACTACTGTAAAAAAAAAAAAAAAAAAATTTGTTCCATATACTACTAATTAACAAAAGGCAACTGTTCTTGGTAATTAACAGTAACTCATTCAGTTTACACCGTGCCATACAATTTTGGGTTACCATCTAACAATGAGGTCGCCGAATTGAAGCTTCTCCAATCACCCAAAAAGTTCAAAAACTTTTATATTACGAAAAACTTTTCAAAATTATCATATTACTCGAGAAATCTTACACTGGTAGTTTGTCGATTTGTCTTACACTGGTAGTTTGATAGTAGATTTACACTATTATTCACTATGCATGAAATTATCATTTGGGATCACGAACCCACAACCCATTAGACGTTCGCCCTGTGGCTATGGGAGAGTGCATTGGGTGCTAAGTGCTAACATCTCAAGTTTTAGCACCATACTAACACTTACTATAAGGTTACTATAACAATTATCCATTCTCTATTCCCCTTTCATTTACGTTTCTTTTCTATGTTTCATTTACAAATTACAGTTTTGATAGATGAACTTAATATATATTAATATTTAGTAGCTAAAATTAAAAAAATTACATTTGAGTCGTAAATAATCGATGAAAATTTACATTTTAGTACCTGGAAATTTTATTTCTTACATTTTGGTACCTAAACTTTTTAAAATTTACAAACAGGTCCACTGCTAAGAAACTTCTAACCTGCTTTGAAAAACTTATGACCTACTTTGAGGCTCAGACCTACTATGAGGAAGTTCTGGCCTACTTTGATGTGGTTCTCACCTACTTTGAGGAGGGTCCGGCCTACTTTGATGTTCTGACCTACTTTGAGAAGTTTCTTGCCTATTTCGGTGGCCCTTCTCCCTTCCTCACATTTAATGCAAAAAGGATGTTGGTCCCTCACTTCCATAACCCATTTTATCATAATACCAAGCGTGCTCATCTTTCTCCTTCTCTCTCATTAATTGTGGTCAACTCATTCAGGGCCGGCCCATGATATTCAGAGGCGCTGCTCAAAAATAAATAATGTGACCCTAAAATTTTTTAGGCTTAGAACTACCAGATTCAAATTTTCTAGATGACATAATTAAAAATTGTTACCAAAGATTAATGATTCAACTATGCAAGAATCATTAGGAAATCAACTAGCACTAATCAAAATTTTCCAAGGCAAATTCCTGGGGAAAAAAAAAACAAAAAAGTGGTTAGAATGCTAGGACACACTTGGGGAAAAAAAACAGATAAAGAACACAAATTTCAAATTTGGCCCATTTGGCCATTCCAAATTTGGCACATTGCCTCTCCAATACCATTCGGCCAAGCAAAAAAAAACACAAAAAATACTCCCTCAACCTCCAAGCAGAAGCAGGAGTAACAGAGCATTAGGAGAACAGAGTCTCCAATTCCAATTTCCAAATTCCATTCCATTCGTCATTCCCATTCAACCATTTCCCAAGACAGCCAGGGACAGGAAATTCTTACTGATTTCCGAACCACGACGGAGAGACGGAAGTCGCCAAGATGGAACTGGGATTCTCGGAACCAAGGGAAGAAGGCAAGCGGGAGCGTCGGAGCGGAACCACCGAACCAGTCGGAATAATGATTAATGAATTTATTCGACTAATCGACTACTTCAGGCTTTAGCAAGGAGGGGATTGATTTCTTCAAACAAAGAAATGAAAATCGAAGGCTGGGGGTGGATGCTTCACCTTCTTGGCCGAGTATTTAAGGGTGATTGAGGATTGATATATTGTGTTGGAGAACGGAGAGTAGAGACGTTGGGAAGAGAAACGTTGGTGGCTTAGTGACGTTGGTTTCTTTTTGGGAAGGTGAGAATTTTGGGGAAACCATTAATCATTGATGATTTTGGGAATGGGAGGTTACGAGAATTGAGGAAGAGAAGCGAATAAGGAGGTTGGAGGGCGAGACACATGTTGAACAGGGGACTCTTCGACTGCCGATGGAATTAGGATTAATTATATTTTTATATATGTATTAGTACATGGGCCAACATTGTGAGGCCCTGTGCTGTGGCTGTGGCTGTGGGTCAGACCAACACAGGGCCTGGACCAGGCCTGAACTCATCCAAATAATAAAGTCATCCAAACGAAATGTTCATATTGACTGAAGCTAGTATTAGCACCATACTAAAAAAAGCCTTTACATGCTGGCTTTTCCCTATGGCTATTGCCTATTGCCTAAGTGATTGAAGCAATCATAATTTATTTATGGATTGGCCGGATCACCAAACCCCTTACTATAATTATATACTGATAACCATAATTATCCCTAACCCAAATAGCAACAGTAGCCGACTCTCTCTCAACTAATACTAATAATAACAACCATAATACTAATAATAACTATATTCCATCAACTCTTGGTGTATATGTGGCCATGTACGTATATGGGCTATCAAACATGATTTATTAATAGTGTTTTATTGGTTAACCGATTTTTCGGTTTTGACACGGGTTTAATACGACCGGATTCATTTAGGTTTTTTTTGCTATTGATGAGATCAATAACGGGATTGGATTGTTTACATCTGGTCCCGATCTTAAACGGTCTGGTTTCCGATTAAACCGAAAAATATGGACTAAATAGTGAGCCCTATACCCAAATATCCATTTCTCGTTGCCCACCCCTATAAGAATAGAAAGAGGTGTGATTTGGGTATGGCGATATGGAGGATTTTGATGTACGATGGCGCCTCTGAGTTCAGGCGGGCTGGGTCGTTCGGTTAAGTTCAATCTTTTATTAATAATTTTGGTGATATGGAGTGCTGACTGGACCAAACTAACAGAATTTTGGATGGAGAATGACGTAATGATTGTTTTGGTATATGCTCAAACTTGTGTTATTGAATTGTTACAAATAAAAGATTTGTTATCGTTTTGTACTAAGTGCAAAGATTTGTAACCATTTATGCTAATTATGAATACTAATTACAAGATAATGAAAACTATGAGATGGTTGAAACTTATTACTAAATGCACAAGCGCATAATTAGGGATGACAATGGGTCGGGTTGGGCTGGATTTTGCCAAACCCAATCCCAATACTCATGGGTATATTCACACAAAAAAAAAATCCGGGGTAATATCCATTGGGTTTGAAAAACTCAAACCCAATCCGTTGGGTATCCATGGTAAAAAATTCTTAGCAACAATTTCCTGTCAAAATAAAAGTCTAACTCTCATCTGCCCATACAAATTATCCATACAAAAAACATCAATCTAGTACATACAAGCAAACCACAAATTATCCATACAAATTGTTAACATTAAAGATAAATATCCGCAAACAACACGATTAATAGAACGCTTCTTCCTCCTTGAGAACTTGAAAACTGCCATCTTAGTTTCATTTTCTACTCTATAATCAACTTCATTCTACACAATTAGTAGTGGTTGGGTATGAGTACGGGTACGTGATGAAACGGATTGGATATGGATAAACCCCAATCCAAACCAATTTGTAAAATAATAGAACGGGTTTAACCCAAACCCAATCTGCAATCCGTCATAATAAATTTTATCCGCTTTGACTAGGTTGAATTGGGTAGGGTACCCGTGAATAGGACTATGTTGCTATCCTACGCACAATTGGACTCATTGAGTTCTTTCTTTCACTGCATAGTGCCTAGTGTCGACGATGAAACGGAGCAGAAGCGAAAGAGAAAGAGGCACCAAACCCAACGCCCATCAAGCTCCTCTGCTCCAAATTAAACCAAGCGGTGTGCAATGGCGATCACTGCCCATACGCACAATCTATTATCAGCGTCTTCAAAGCATACAACTGCCACTCTACCGTTTGCCCTTCTCCGACGAACCAACCATTCTGGTTCTTCCTTTTCCATTCCCAGTCACGAACACTTATCGGACCTCATTCTAAACCAGAAATCGCCATCCCAAGCTCTCCAAACATTCCAATGGGCCTCGAAGCTTCCCGGTTTCATTCACTCCCTCGCCACTTATCGCGCCCTGATCCACAAGCTCTGCACTTTCCGCCGTTTCGACGATGTCTACCAACTGCTCGACGAAATGCCTGCTTCCATAGGCACTCCCCCGGACGATTCCATCTTCATTACAGTCGCCCGAGGCCTTGGGCGGGCTGCCCAGATCCACCGTGTTATCGAAGTTCCCGACTTGGCCTCCAAGCTTCACGCCAAGCCCCCATCTTTGAAGCTCTGCAATTCCGTGCTTGATGTCCTCGTGAAGCACGACATCGATTTGGCTCGAAAGTTCTACAGGAACAATATGATGAAGCGTGGAGTCGAGGGTGATGACTACACTTTCGGGATTCTAATGAAAGGTCTTTGCTTGACGAATAGAATTGGCGATGGCTTCAAGCTTCTGCAGCTCATCAAGTCTGCTGGTGCGAATCCCAACTCGGTCGTTTACAATACTCTGCTTCACGCCCTTTGCAAGAATGGTAACGTTGGGAGGGCCAGGAGTCTGATGAGTGAGATGGAGAAACCCAATGATGTGACATTCAACCTTCTCATATCTGCCTACTGCAAAGAGGATAACTTAGTTCAGGCACTTGTGTTGCTGGAGAGGAGTTTCAGCTTGGGGTTTATACCTGACATTGTTGCAGTCACCAAGGCAGTGGAACTTCTCTGCAATCGTGGTCGTCTTGCTGAGGCTGCCGACATATTGGAAAGATTCGAGACCAAAGGAGGCACAGTTGATCTGGTAGCGTGTAACACTTTGGTTAAGGGCCTCTGCAAATCTGGAAAAGTGAAAGCAGCTTGTGGATTCTTAAAGGGGATGGAACTTAAGGGTTGCCTTCCCAATGTTGAGACCTACAACTTGTTGATCACTGGTTTTCTTGATTGTAAAATGCTGGATTCTGCCCTCGACATGTTTAACGAGATGAAGGTGGCCGGGATCGATTGGAATCTTGACACATTTGATGAACTTATAAAAGGTTTGTTCTCTGAAGGGAGGCTCGAAGCTGGTTTCAAGATCTTTGACCTGATGGAAGATAGCAAAGGAGGTTGTGGGGGTCGAATTAGTCCTTACAACAGCGTGTTGTATGGGTTTTACAGGAAAGATATGTGGGATGAAGCTCTTGAGTTCCTGGTGAAGATGGAGAGCCTGTTTCCGAGAGCTGTTGAAAAGAGCTTGAGGGTATTGCGGTATTGCGAAAAGGGTGCAGTCGAGGATGCAAAGATGGTTTATGACCAAATGGTCAATGAATGTGGGTTGCGTAGTGCTCTTGTGTATGACTGCTTAATCCATGGATTTTGCCAAGAGCGCAATGTGCAGAAGGCATTTGACATCATGAATGCTATGATTGAACATGATTATTACCCTGTTGCGTCAACTTTTAACGCTGTGATTTGCGAGCTCTGTAGGCAGGGAAAGGAAGCTAGCGCCATGAGGCTTCTCAGGGACATGGCTGACCGAGGCTTTGCACCTGATGCTGGCAGTTATAGTCAGGTAATCTATGTGCTTTGTGAGAAGGGGAGTTTTCAGAAAGCTGGGAGTTTGGTTTCACAAATGGTGGAGAGGAAGATTGATCCTGACTGGCAATCTATGCTTGTTTGGCTAAGTCGGGATGAGGTTTGGCAGAGCAACCATTCTACTTTGGCTGTAAATAATCTCACGTAGTAGAGAAATAATAAGATCTAGAGGTGATTATACATGGTCCAATCTCACTCGGATCAAATCGATACAAGGTCCAAATGTAAGGTAAAGGAGAGGAATACATTGGGAAGAATTGCTACATACACACGTACTCTGGATTACAACATTATATATGACAACACATGAAAGGGGAAAAGATTGGAGGTTTTCTCTTTTTCTTTTTCTTTTCTTTTTCCTGAATGAATAGGGGAAATTTTTCCTGAACTAACCAATCTCATCAAAATCTAGCTCCGGCAAAATCCAATCAACTACTAGCAGGAACAAATATGGCATATAAACCCAGAAGTAGTTCCTTCAATTATGGTATAACACAACAGCATATGCAAGGTAGAAGAAACGAACTCAATCAAGCACACGGCAAACCCAATTCACAGACTTGTTCCAAAGTTCGTTCTGCTCTTCAGAAGGCCTTCCACTCATCAGAACTTCTTTTCGACGGTGTCGAACCACCATCCAAGGACGACCTAAATGGTCCACTAGACCCAAATGGATCTGAATCGAATGATGAGAAACCATGGTCCTTGGACTCATGCCCAGAATCGAACCCAGAGTCATGACCACCACCAAACGAATCAAACCTCGAAAACCCTCGACCTTGATCAGAATCCCCCGAATCCTTGAACGAGTCGTACCTTGACGGGAATCCTTGGCTGTGGTCGGAGTCCCTGAATGAATCAAACCTCGACGGGAATCCTTGACTCTGGTCGGAGTCCCTGAACGAATCGAACCTCGAGAACCCATTGCCAAGATCCGAGTCCCCAGATTCTCTGAATGAATCAAACCTTGATGGTAACCCATACCCTTGGTCAGAGTCTCTCGTGCTTCTGACTGAATCAAACCTTGCAAGAGAAGGGCCTGCTGAAGATGTGAACGAGCTACTACTTTCATTCAAATTGAACGAATCGAACCTGGAGAAGCTGTCAAAGGAGTGATCTTCTGACCCAAAATTGTTGACGGGTGTGCCTGGGACAGAATCAGCAAATGAGGAGAATGCGCTTTTCCTCCCTAGGTCATAAGCAGGGGTGCTTGGAACAGAATCAGCTAACCCAAATGAGCTCATTCCGTGCTGATTATGGGCAGGGGTACTAGGAACTGAATCGAACATGATAGAGCTTTTCCCTTGGTTGTATGCAGGGGTTCCAGGCACAGAATCGAACCCAAACGAGCTCTTGCCTTGGTTATATGAAGCAGGGGTTCCAGGTACGGAATCAAACCCAAACGAGCTCTTTCCTTGGTTATAAGCAGGAGTGCTTGGAACAGAATCAAAAGTATAGGAGTTATAATTCCCTTGGTTATTATAAGCAGGGGAGCTAGGAACAGAATCAAACATGAATGGGCTCTTCCCCTGGACAGCTCCTGTCTTTATTGGATTCAGACCAAAGTCACCAATGTCATATATAGAACTGTCTGCATGGCTTTCAAGATCGGCTTCCTGCAGGACAACTCGAGAGAAATTTATCAAGGACAAAAGAAAACAACAAAATACAAATTTAGCTGTTGCTAGAAACTATGCTACTTTTTTCAAGTCATAATAGAAATGAAAAAAAAATGTGCCAGTGGGGTGTAAGATGATCGTAAATTTATGAAATATGAGATACTGTTTGGAAGTAAAAACAATTGATGGGATGATATATGATTTGTTTAATTATGAAGTTATTCTCGTTCACAATAGATTTTTATATCATAAGGGGAAAAGTAGGAAATACAATCTTTATTATTCGGAATTGGGATGGCTTATAAATTTAGAATATTTATGGGGTATAGTAGAATAGTTTTTTGAAAAGTTAGATAGAAAAAGTGCGTTTGTTTTAGCTTTTAAACAAAATTTTCTGAAGTTTGTTATGTTTTAGCCAAACAAACACTCTGCCAGCCTAACCACTAACACTATCGTTGCGGAACTTCAACATTAGTCATCAACCAAACACGACTCAGCTTTTCATTTTGCATGATGCAAACACGAGGACTCGAGCTTAGATATAGGTACCCCAAAACAGAAGAACCTACACATACCTTGCCACTGAGAGAGTCAGCCCCCCAAATTGATTCACTATCATAATGGCTGTCAAATCTACCCCAAGCAGGTTCATCCACACTTTTGTCACCAGAAAATATACTAGCAGTATCAGCCACGTCACTGCAGAAAGCTAGACTATGAGTGAGTTCAACAACATTAAATTAGAACATAAGCAGAACCCATAGAGAAGAATATTTAGAACCAAGCACCAAGCAAAACCATACGCTGGCATTCCCCTAGCATGGGGTGAACTGTCAGCACCAGCACTCCCTTTGACTTCATGAGTTTCGTTTTCTGCTCCACTCTTCCGAGTTGGACTCTCTGGAGGACTTCTTGCACCCTTACCATTCTCACTTTGACCATTTGCTACTGATTCTTTATCAGAAACCGATTCACCACCACCAGAAATCTTCTCCAACTTGGCTTCAGCATTTGATGGAGAAACGCTAAAACCACCTTCAGAGGCTGTTGTTTTCTCCTTTCGAACGGATTTTGGTTTTGGAGGAGCCACAACATTCTGCGCCTCTGTAGTCAGTTCTTTGACAAACAGAAATCCTGGAAGGGGAAAGTAACGAATCATCAGAAGCCAAAACAAAATGAAAGGACTAATCTTCCATTGTGAACAATGCTACAATACAGAACAAAGCTCATTTATATACTAATCGGATTTCATGTACATACCTTCATCTTCAAACTTATCCCAGTCTTCATCCCAATCAGCCGCTCCTTCTTGTATTCCAGGCTGCCAGCCTGAAAAGGAGCATTATGCACGTAATCAATCACATACCACCTCAGAAAATTCAAATGGAAGTTCAAGACTGAAACCCACATGGCATGAAGTTCAAGCAATTACACAACAAAATCCAAAAAGGAAAGGGTTAGCAAGGTCAGAGACATACCAAATGGAAGTTCAACCAGCGACATAGGTTTAGAACGTAATCCATATTGTTTGCAGCGTTCATTCAAACTCTTCACTAGTTCTTCTAGACTAGAATGGATATGGTCGGCTCGCTCCTGCAAAAGCAGGGAAACTAAGATGGCAGCAATTTCTTACATTCCCTCACTGATAAGCCACTGTTACAAGTACCTTAAGTGCACCCTCAGCAGTCCCCCCTTCTTCAATTTTAACAATTGCACGATAGATTTCCATTTTCTTCTCCTACAATTGATAAGCAGGCACGTTATTTAAGACATGATCGAGAAAAACATCATCCAAGCAGAGAATGTGAGCTACTATTGCAACTCCATCAAAGTTCACCAGTTACCTGAATGTCGCGAAAGGTAGCCTCCTCAATGGTTAATCTAGAGGCTACATCTCCAGCCTGCTTGTATTTCTCTTCATACTTCTTGGCTAATGCTTCAACCTGAAGTGAGTTTCATAATTTCAGTCCAACAATCAATTATAGCAAACAGGAGAAAGGCTAATGCAGAAAAAAGTACCTCGTGTTTATCTGCAGCCACCCTTTCTATGACCTCGTTAAGGCGATTATCACAGCGGCTCTTATATAAAATCTAATGAAAAAAATACAAAAGACAAACATTAGGTGCTCAGTTACATGATAGCCAAAGCTCAAAGGATAGCATAAACTGCACTGATCATTCAACCATGTGAACGACAAGCTTATGGGAAGAAACTTGCTATCTAACAGAAGTAACACCTAGCAAAAGACTCAGCATGCAATTTTAGCAAATACAATCTCCTTAGACAACTCAAAAGGAATTTAAGCATTTACTTCCACCTAAAACTTGAAACAGCCAAACTTTATTGACAGGAAACTAAATCTATCTTAACAAGTACTTACCTTGAAACAGCCAAACTTTATTGACAGGAAACTAAATCTATCTTAACATGTACTTACCAGTTCTTGCATCTTAGCACGATAGAAGTCAATCTTCTGTCTGGATTCTGAAATTTCCTTTTCCAGCTCTTCAACCTTCATTTCAAAGAAAGAAGATTCAAATGTATATTTGTTCGTGAAAATATAAAACTGACAGACTGTTCAAGTTAGGCCACAAACTTCAGACCATTACTTGACAATTAAGGTTTGTCATCTGATGCACAATAGAACCAAAGAATCAACCATCACAGTTAACAAGTTATGAGAAGAACAAGTACCTTTTTATCTGCCTGATATGCCTCTTGGAATTTCGAGTTCAAAGAGTCCTGCTCCTCTTGGCTAAGTTGATCCACAAGATGCTTTTCCAGCACTGGAACTTTGGGCTTTGGCTGAGTAGGCTGTTTTTCTTCAGCATGAGGAGCAGAGGGTGGGCGTGGTGGCCTTGGTGCGCCAGCATGCGTTGGACGCGCACCAGGCATCACTTGTGGTTGTCGAGGACCTGTAAATATTCATTGCACCAGCTTGATACTAAAAGATAGAAGGCACCTTTTCAATAAATTAGGATAGTAATCTTAAATGGTCTTCACTTTATCTAATTAATGTGATTTTGAAAACAATCTTTGAAAGAGATTTTTTCTAAATAGAGGCGCAAACTAGGTCAATAAATAGAAATTCTTGATCTTGTCAAAAGCCAACTTCTAGGTTTCTATAAATGAATCTCCAGATTCCAAACAGGAGCTTCACAATGACATTCAAAATGTAGATAAAATACAATTTATCAGTAACAATATCGGTATTGATTTTTAACGTATTGTATTAATTTATCAACAAACTATATGCAAAATTTATCAAACCAAGCTTCTCTATAGCTCCAGCTAAAAGCTCTTGTAAGAGAAGTATCATACGCCCATGCAGTTCACGGCTATCCTATATTTCAACTTCCTACTCAATTAAATTATAGAAAACTTGGTATGATTCTAGTTCTAAGAGGAATATTCTGCTTATATTATGAATTATCATAAATTTATGACCTCCTGTGGATCTAAGGAGCTGAATATAACAAATAAAAAGCAGTTTTGCTTCGAGTTTTTTTTTTTTTTTTGGTGATAATTATCCTCGATTTAGGCCCTATGTTTACAATAGCCTATACTGTTTGTCACGACAGAGGCGCCTATATATGGGGCCTTTCTAAACAAGAATGGAGGTTCTTCTCTGTTCAATCAGTTTTAAAAAACCATTAATACTATTCCTGGCAAGGAGTTACAACCTGAATAACTAAAGAAAATCCACAAGTAAAGCATATATCTCATCTGAACATAAAAAACAAAGAAGTACCAGGGCCAGGTCCCCAAGCGCCACCAGCATGGGAAGCAGCAGGGCGGCTAGTAGCAGACAACAGAGCTTCATCAGAAATGACCGAGCTTGGAAGGCTAACAGGAAGAGGACGACCTTCTCTATATCGTTCCATCAAATAGAGTGCAACACAAAACTCCTTTGCAGAAAGCATGCTATCATTGTCTTGATCAGATAAATCCCAGACCTGTTTCAAGACCTCTGAAATAACATCCAACAATAGAATCAATGACAGAACATGCCCCAGCTGAAAAGGAAAAACGATGAACAAACATGTTCGCTCTCTGTCAAAACAATGAGCAGTGAGAGCTTCTATAAGCTTCAATCTAGATACCAACTATGCTTCGGCATTTAGAAACATGATGATATGAGTTTAATAATAACTGAAGCCTACATTTGATCAAGATCATCCCATTTTATGGGGAAACAAGACTATCCTCAGCATGATGAACTTATAGCATATTAGTTCTATAGATTATGCCTCGTATAATATTCTTCAGAGGAAGGCCTCACACCAGACCAAATAACATAAACTTTCAGAAGCAATCAGTCACCTTCTGTGGACTACCTACGAAATCCAGTAACCATGTTTTCACAAGTTGTAACATATCATTAGTCAATGGAACAAACAAATGTTCTCAAAATCCATAACATGAGGTTTGATCTTATGCACGAAAAAAGTCGACCGTATAAGCTCTTTTATGAGACACAAAATTATATGGGATAAGAAAAGAAAAACAGAAATAAGTCCCACTTGGAAGCTACCTCTTGGAAGCCTCCAGCTTAAGAAGAGATTGCGTGCCTGTTCACCAGTGATCTTTCCATCTCTATCTGTATCTACTTGTAGAAACACTTTCAAATACTTCTGGATATCAGCTTGGATCATCCTTGGCCAGGCATTGTGCGATTGACCAGAACCCACATTTCCTGCTGCAACAGGAAACACGCCCAAGGGACGTGCATTAGTAACTTGACCTGAAACTGTTTGGTTTGGTTTTCCTGTTTGCTGACCACCAACAACTTGCTGAGAAACATTATTCGGCGACGATTCAACGGCACTTGGCTTAACTGAAGACAGGGATTCGGCAGAAGACATTATCGCTGAAGAAACACCAGAGCTGTTGGCAGAAGAGGAAGATGATGAAGAGATCTTAAATCCATTCTCCGAAACGTTCATTGCTTTAGGCTCTATAGATACAGGTGGCTTCGAGAATGTGGCTGTGCCTTGATATTGTGGTTGAGAAGAAGGTAACTGCCCAGTGGGCACCAGTGGTCTAGGTTGAACAGAGGTTGTCATCCCAGAAGCTGATAACATGACTCCATCTTGTCTTGCACTAGAAGTGGTCCCACGATTTGGAGTTAGAGATGTTGGCGCACCCGTGCTTCCACTTAGCCAATTGGTTGAGTTACCTGAAACTAATGGGCGAGCGGCAGGCGGGGTAGTAATACCTTGGCCAGGAACAGGCTGTTGTTGGTGGGACATAGAGTTGGGAGGCACGCCCTGCTGTGGTCTCATAAACTGGTTTTGCTGAGATGGGAAGTATTGCCGGTTCATCTGTGCATTTGCAGGCAGCTGAGCTGGTCTGATCCCAGCATTCTGAGATACAGCTGATGTTGAGCCAACAAACTGTGAAACAGGGGCTGCCGCTTTAGGAGCAGGTGTGGCAGCAAGATTAATCTGAGGAGCTGGGATTTTAGAAGATGCCGCACCATACAATGCAGCCCTCACTAAATCAGGGGTCAGGTCCCGTTTACTTTGAGCCACAGTAACAAGTTTGAGAGCATTATAGAATTCTTGTCGGCCAAGGTATCCAGCTTTTCTCTGGTCAGCATACATCCACACCTGCCCAGAATGTCAGAAAATGCATATGCTCAGTCTAATATATCAATGAAAGGAAATTCATCAGACTAGCAAAATGGTAACAATTCTTATAGAAAGCTCTTTTGTACACTTTTGAAAGGAGAACCTGCCTACACTTCACTTCCGAGATAAAAAAAAAAATAGTTCACAACTAAAAGATGGATCAGGACGCAATAACATGGATAACTAGCAACAAAACATAGAGTAACAACACTCAGCAAACACTAATGAATTGCTGGAGGGACTGCATGACTCTCATAACTTTGTCCAAATCTACAAAGTCAGAGAAATATGACAATAATAACTAACATCTGACGTTATTGTGGTGCCTTGCCTACTATGACAAGTTCGTTTTATAATTCGATCGTTAGGTAGACAAAGGATAAGCAAATGAAAGCCAGTCAAGACCTAGTCAGTCCAGAAGCGAGCAACTCAGAACCATAACCGTAGGGACTGATTCCGAAAAATTACAGTAGTCAAGTAGAGACATCGATGACAGTTAAGCAAGCGCCTGCAATCAGTAAAAGGGTAATTGCCGCATAGAGCACAGTGCTAAACAGGTGAAATTGTCCGGTTGTCAGGAAACTGGCAATCGCTACCAAGATTACTGGACTAAGGAAGCTTTTTCGAGGCCACATTATTAAGTAGCAATTTACCCAAAAAGAAGGGGGAAACGGCAGAACTGCTAAATTCAAGAAACAGTCAAACCAAGAACACAAGCCATAGCTGAGGCAGAGAGGGAAGAGAGAAATTGGGGGAAGCAAGTACCTGGGCAAGAACTTGCTTGGGCAGGCCGGAACCTTGGAAGAAAGCAACGGCTTCAGCACCACTGATCTGACCGTCACCATCCAAATCTGCTCGCCGGAAATATGAATCGAACAGATCAACACCCGCGTTCTGCCCCGCCATTCCCCAAATCTAATTCCGCCCAACTAGAGCTCAAAAATTCTCAATTGGAGATCACTTGTGGACGCGAGATCCCTCTCTCAATCCCTATCTTTGCGTCGCGAAATCTATTTGGATTCGATTAAATTTCCCCAGCGATTCTGCTTTGCTTTTGGACGGGAAACCGCAGGCCAGCCCCAGAGCAGAGAGAGAGAACCACCGTGAGAGACAGAGACAGAGACAGACAGAGAGAGGAGATCGGGGAGGAAGATGGGCATGGATCATTCCACGCTAGCAGAAAAGAAAGAGAGAAAACGCAATAAAGATATGAATCAGAGCCCACGCACACTCCGGCCCATTAAAAGACGACAATTTAAAGCCGTTGGGTTTTACTTTTAGAGCCTCCTGCTGTTTTGTGGATCAAGAATAGTTATTGTATGTCTTTCCATTCATATAGCTATCCAAAATGAACAGTTAGCTTGCTTTATATAAGAGAGAGTTTTACGAGCTGAATAGGTGTATGATATATTTTTTTTTATTTTACCATTTTGGTACAAGTTCAAATCAATGCGATCATTTAAAGAGTGCTAATAAAATATAAGGTTTTATTGTCCTATGATTGTTACTTCAATATAAGAGTGCTATTAAAGAGTAGTGGACATATATCTCTTTGTATATGAACCAAAAATATTGAAATATGTGTACGTAGACAGGAAGAGAGAATCATCAATAACCTCTAAATTATGGTTGCATACATATTAATATCATATTTTTAAATTAGATGAGGGTGTTACATTATACCTAAACGACACAAAAAAAATTACATATTCATAATCAATATGCAAAGTCATTTTCCAATTAAAAAAAAAAACGCAAATGCCTTTCAATTCATAACAAAATAATATGCCCTCATTTTTACTAATATTTATTTTGGCTATAGTATTGTTCACTTGATCTTATCACTCAAGTCATTAATGAGTTTTTTCGTAACAAATTTAATATCCAAACCAAAGAACTAAATCAAATATGGCAATCCATTTCACGATGTTTAAGTGACAGAACTTTGTGGTCATTAATGAATGATCTGTGTTCCAAAGTTTAAAAAATATAGGCTACGATTACGTACGATCTAATGACGATTCTAAATTGTGTGTTCACTCCAAAATAAAGAGTTTCCCCTATAAAAAAAATAGTTGGGTGTCTTGGCTGTGATTTGTGAATATGGTTGAAAATTCTTAGCTGTGAATTGAGTTGAAAATTCTTAATTGTAAATTACGTACTCCAAAAAATATTGCTGAGATTCTCAACAAAAGGAAAATATTTCATAGTTAATATTGCCTATGCGGAAATTTGGGATTCATTAACTAATACTAACAATCATCTCTACGAATTGAGAATCTTGGTTCATAGCTAATGTCAGGGGTCTAGAAATCAATACTCGGATGAGAGTCAAATGTCGAAGTTAGAGACTAATGATCCTTAATTATGGAATAAACTTAATGAAGGTCACTAGGCTTGATAACTCAATGATTTGGTAACAAACATTACCGAGGTGTAGGCAAAAGGAAAGATTTTTTATTAGTATTGTTAATGATAAGAGTTGAGAATCATTAACCAATGTTACGAGTCATCTGTAGTTTGTAAAAAAAGGGAATCATATATAGAGGTTGAGAATGGGTGTAAAGACAATTAATTTTGGATAATAAATATCAATAAATGTTCCAAACTATATATCAATCATTGAGATAAAACACAACACCAAATTGTGACCAAGTGTAATTGCAGTCCAAAAATGCAAAATAGTGGCAAGTTCTATTTATCTACCCGGGGTCTAGGTCTACTGCCTATTCCGTGATTATCTATTATCTAGCAAGACTAAGTTGAGTGAATGTGATTTTAAGCCAAAGCAGTAAGAAAGTAGGAAATGGTTCGAAGTTCTTAAGCAGGGGAAGAGTGACTCGGGAATGAGTCCCCCTAGCTCCTTAGTTAGGTCAAAGTTGTAATTACGTTTGGTTGATTTACTGTTGATTAAACTGCGGAAAATCCGACAGTAGCTTGGAATCTCTTAAGCTGACCAAACCCTCTCAAACAGACTACTCGGCAGACGGCTAGTCTTCACCGGGATAAAACGCTAAGGCAATTAACACAGAACTCCACTACTGGAATTGGATTCCAGTACAAAGCAATGAATCGACTAACTCTCGTATAATCGATTCACTACTACCGATTGAAGAAACTCTAAAAACCTAATCAGATTCTATCTATCTCAAGTTATAGCAGAAATCAATAAAAGATGATCAGGCTTCAATTGCCTTAATCAAAACACTTCAATCGATTATAATCAAGCATTATCACAATCCAAACATCATTACAATCGATATCCCTAACACATGGAACTAGGGTTCTTCATACCCAAGTGAGAGAGGGCTCTACTCCGTAGAGAGAGGGAAAAACAGAAAACAAAGTAGCCATACTCATCAAGATGGGAAGAATCTGCTCTGGGATGATAATCTTCACTCCAAGGATGAAATCCAAGCTTGATTGATGAAACCCAGCTCCAAAATCACCTATAGGGTGTGTTCTTCGCACTTTCTCTCTCTAAGACTCTGTTTCTAGCTCTGAAAATCGACCCCCCCCCCCTCCAAACGACCCAAAATTGAGTTAAAACCCAGAATTCCGCGACTACACGGCCAGGCCACACGGCCGTGTAGAATTGCTAGCTCCCCGTGAAAGCATAAAATGCCGCGTTTCACTTAAGTGCCCTCATGCACGCTACACGGCCAGAACCGCACGGCCGTGTGAAATCTTGGCCTGCCCGTGTGAGCTCTCTTGGAATTACACACGGCCACAAAGGACCCTTTACACGGCCAGTGTGGTTTGCCCGCGCAAAAGGGTTCCACACGGCCACGTCACACGGCCGTGTGGTTTTTAGGTCTGGACGTGTGGTTTCCCAAGATTTCCGTCAATCGTTCCAACTTCGTCCAATCGACCCCGAACTCGTGCCCGAACCTTCCTTCACATACTAGGACATGAAATATCACAAATACGAACAACCTAGCGTAAAAAACGAGAGATGAGACTCAAACGGTATAGGAATGGTGGACAAAAACATGTGTATATATCAAGTCATCAAATTCTCCCACACTTAACCGTTTGCTTGTCCCCAAGCAAACCTGACTCAAACCAATGCAGCTCTCCAGACCCGACCGACAGTGGAGACCATGGGGCGGCGACTACCATCCTAACCGACAGGGTTTGGGCGGTGATTGGTCGGACCAAGAAGGGCGGACCGGGATCGGGCGGGCCAGCAGGAGCGAACCGACCCAGGGCGACTCGAACTGAACTGGTTTGGAACAGGTCGAACCCAACCAGTCGGGTTGGGACGGAAACAGACCGAACTGGACCCGGGCAGCAGTGGACAGTGGGGGCGAAATGGGTCGGTTTGGCGTCGGGAAAAGAATGGGAGGTAGATCAAGGATCCGGGGTTAAGAATGGTGGCTGGAGCGATGAGGAGGAAGGATGGGGCTTTGACAATCAGGCATGGCAGAAACCAGAGCGTGGGAGTCGCCAGGATCCTCAACAAGGTGGTCACGGCATAGGCAGGTATGGTGGTTACAACTCTGTGTATGAAGGAGATGATGAGCTGGTGTTTAGAGCTAAACTTCCGACCATTGAGTTTCCAAAATTCAATGGCCAAGAGGATGCAAGGTTGTGGATTTATGCTGCAGAAAGGTGGTTTAATAATCACCCTACCCGAGAGGAGAGAAAGGCGCAGCTGGCATCTTTCTATATGGAGGGTGATGCACTCCAGTGGTGGGAATGGATGGAACGATCTTATGAAGAGGCCGAAATGCTGATTACATTACCGCGATTTAAGGAGCTACAGTACCAGTTTGGGAAGTCTGAAGGCTGGGCTCCGGAGCAGCTAGCCAAGCTGCGCCAGACAGGCACGGTGGCCAAGTTCCGCTCGGAGTTTCTGCAGTTGGGAAATATGTGCAAAGGTATGCCGGAGGAGATACTGGTTGGTTTATGTCTTGCAGGGTTGAAGCCAGAGTTGGCAGCTGCTGTGAAGGTGTTCGAATCGGGGTCATTAAGGGTGGCGTTCCGGTTAGCTGGGCGCAAAGAGGAGGAGCTGGCAAGTTGGAAGGTAGTACGAAGTCAGAAGGGCCTAGGGGGCTACTCGGCAGCAAGCGGAGTACAAGGAGGAGGAGCTAGTCCCCAGGTCGGGGCTGCTCCCACCACGCCCCCAGCGGCGCCTACAGGAGGGCGTACGGGACCGAGATTGCCTCCGTGAGGATTTGTGAAGCTCATGCCGGTGGAAATGGAGCAGAAGCACAGAGATGGTCGATGTTTCAACTGCGACGAGAGGTATACCGTGGGGCACCAGTGCGCCAAGGGACACTTAATGCTGCCGGTGGGAAACTTGGAGGATGAAGCGGAAGAGCTAGCTGCAGAAGAGGCCAAGGAAAACCAAGGCGATCGGGAACAACCTTGAGAGAAAGGTTGGTTTCGAGAGGGGTGGATTGTTAGAAAGCCAATTATTGGGTTAATTCGGTATTTGGACTTGTTTGTCATTTTATTTATGTTTGGGAAATATTGAGTATTACTTATGGGTTTTTGGGTGCATTTGAGGATTATTCAGATTAATTGGGTCAAGGGTAATAGTTGGGGTAGCTAGCGAGAATTATTCGAGTTATATATTCTGTAATTAGTGAGTGATTACTCATTAAGCACATAATAACAGAATTCCCCAAAACCCTAAATCCCTCTCCTCTCTCCTTCACTCGGCCGAACCCCTCTCTCTTAACTTCCCTCTTCCTTCGTCGGCCACCCTGGCCGCCGACCTCCCTCACCTCTTTTTCCTCAACTCCTTCAAATCCCTCAATCAATGTTCCCCAATTCCCCAATTTCTCTAACTGCTATCGATCCTAATCGTATCACCCTAAACGTAAGACGCCTAGATCCTCGGGTTTCTTACATCTTTTCTCCCCCCACCCCCTTCATGGGATATCCCAAGCTACTATGGATTAAACCCCCAAACCCAATATTTGGTTTATAATGGAGATGTATGAATTATGTTAGAGTTTATGAATGTGTATGTTTGTCTATTGATTTTATTGCTTCATATACGCTTAAATGCTTGGGTAAGTCACCCTACTCTTCCCTATTAGCCTGCAGCTAAGCCATCGCTAGGCCGCAGTTTTAGGGTTAGATTGGATAGCGCCAAATGGAAGATTAAGGGTAGATGAATGTTTTTAGGGTCTTGTAGTAGACGATTCGATCGTACC